TAGGGGAAAAAATGGGGGGAAATGGGAATTTTAAGAGGGAAAATAGGGGAAAAAATGGGAATTTTGAGAGGAGAAATGGGGAAAAAAATAAGGAAAAAATAGGGGAAAAAATGGGAATTTTGAAAGGAGAAATGGGGAAAAAAATGGGAATTTTGGGGGGGAAAATGGGGAAAAAATGGGAATTTTGAGAGGAAAAATGGGGAAAAAATAAGGGAAAAATAGGGGAAAAAATGGGAATTTTGAGAGGAGAAATGGGGGAAAAAATGGGAATTTTGAGGGGGAAAATGGGGGAAAAAATGGGAATTTTAAGAGGGAAAATGGGGAAAAAATGGGAATTTTAAGAGAGAAAATGGGGGAAAAAATGGGAATTTCGAGAGGGAAAAATGGGGAAAATTGGGAATTTTGAGAGGGAAAAATGGGAATTTTGAGAGGGGAAATGGGGGGAAAAATGGGAATTTTGGGGGGGAAAATGGGGGAAAAAATGGGAATTTTGAAAGGAAAAAAAATCTGGGAAAAACCTGAAAAAAATAAAGGAAAATAATCAGAAAAAAACAGGAAAAAATCCGAAAAAAACCTGGAAAATCAGGAAAAAAATGGGATAAAATCAGGGGAAAATTGGGATAAAATCAGAGGAAAAATGGGAAAAAATCAGGGAGAAAAAACAGGAAAAAAATCTGGGAAAAACTGGAAAAAAATTGAGGAAAAACCAAAAAAAAACCCAGGAAAAAATCAGAAAAAAATGGGAAAAAAATCAGAAAAAAATGGGAAAAATCAGAAAAAAATGGGAAAAAATCAGAAAAAAATCGGGAAAATCAGGGGAAAATCGGGATAAAATCAGAGGAAAAAATGGGAAAAAATCAGGGAGGAAAAACAGGAAAAAAATCAGAAAAAAAACGAGAAAAAATCAGAAAAAAAACGGGAAAAAATCAGAAAAAAATGGGAAAAAATCAGAAAAAAATGGGAAAAAATCAGAAAAAACCCTGGAAAATCAGGAAAAAACCAGGAAAAACCCCAAATATTTTGAAAAAGAGAATTTGGATGTAAAAATTCCCAGGTTTTTTTTGGGAATTCCGGTTTTTCCCGGTTTTTTTTTACCTGTCCGCAGCCTCTGATCACCACTCCCATCTCGTTAGCGTTGAAGTGGAAATGAGGAATTCCCAATTGATTCCCAAAAATCCGCAGCGTGGCCAAGGTCAGGCTGTTCTCGTGCTGGGGATAAAGAATTCCAGGGGGGAAAAAAAAATTTGGGATGCAATTCCTGGAATTCTGGGAGTTTTCCCAGGTTTTTTCCAATTTTTCCCCAATTTTATCCCAATTTTTCCCCATTTTTTCCCAATTTTTCCCCTCATTTTCCCCCATTTTTATCCCATTTTTTATCCCAATTTCCCCCAATTTTTTCCCAATTTTATCCCATTTTTCCCCAATTTTCCCCCAATTTTTCCCCAAATTTTCCCCAATTTTTTCCCATTTTTTCCCCATTTTTCCCCAATTTTCCCCCATTTTTTCCCCAATTTTCCCCCATTTTTTCCCCATTTTTCTCCCATTTTTCCCCAATTTTCCCATATTTTTTCCCAATTTATTCTCAATTTTTCTCATTTTTATCCCAATTTTTCCCCAATTTTCCCCCAATTTTCCCCAATTTCCCCCAATTTTTCCCTATTTTTTCCCCAATTTTCCTCCAATTTTTTCCAAATTTTCCCCCAATTTTCCCCCAATTTTACCCCAATTTTTCCCCATTTTTTATCCCAATTTTTTCCCAATTTTCTCCCAATTTATTCTCATTTTTTCCCCAATTTTCCCCCCATTTTTTATCCCAATTTTCCCCAATTTTCCCCCAATTTTGCCCATTTTGCCCCTATTTTCCCCCATTTTTATCCCAATTTTTCCCCATTTTTTATCCCCATTTTTTATCCCAATTTTTCCCCATTTTTTCCCAATTTTTCCCAATTTTCCCCCAATTTTTCCCCAATTTTACCAGATTTTTTCTCCAATTTTTCCCCAATTTTCCCCCAATTTCCCCCAATTTTCCTCCAATTTTTATCCCAATTTTTCCCCAATTTTCCCCCAAATTTTCCCCAATTTTACCAGATTTTTTCTCCAATTTTTCCCCAATTTTTCCCCAATTTTCCCCCATTTTCCCCCATTTTTCCCCCATTTTTTATCCCAATTTTTCCCCAATTTTTTCCCAATTTATTCTCAATTTTTTTCCAATTTTTTCCCCATTTTTTCCTGATTTTTATCCCATTTCTTCCCCGTTTTCTCCCAATTTTTCCCCAATTTTTCCCCAATTTTCCCCCAATTTTCCCCAATTTTCTCCCAATTTTTCCCCAATTTTACCAGATTTTTTCTCCAATTTTTCCCCAATTTTTCCCCAATTTCCCCCAATTTTCCTCCAATTTTTATCCCAATTTTTCCCCAATTTTCCCCCAAATTTTCCCCAATTTATTCTCAATTTTTCCCATTTTTTCCCCAATTTTTCCCCAATTTTTCCTCCAAATTTCCCTTAATTTTCCCCAATTTTCTCCCAATTTTTCCCCAATTTTTTCCCAATTTTCCTCCAATTTTCCCCCAATTTTTCCCCATTTTTTCCCCAATTTTCCCCAATTTTTCCCCAATTTTCCCCCAATTTTTTCCCAATTTTCCCCCAATTTTTCCCCAATTTTTCCCCAATTTTTCCCCAATTTTTCCCCAATTTTCCCCCAATTTTTCCCCGATTTTTCCCCAATTTTTCCCCAATTTTCCCCATTTTTTATCCCAATTTCCCCAATTTTCCCGTTTCCCCACCTCGTTCAGCGATTGGCTGTAGATCCGTTGATTTCCCGTCAATCCCGTCCCGTTTTTCCTGAACCTCGCCCATCGGAAAATTCCCCCCGGGAACGGAAATTCCGCAGATCCTAAAAAAAAAATCCAACCTCAGCATCAACATTCCCAAATTATTTTGGGGTGCTCGAAATTCCATGGATTTTCCCGTTTTTTTCCCGGAAATTCCCGTTTTTTTGGTGGTTTTTTGGTGGAATTCGGGGGATTTTTGTGTCATGAAAATTCAGTTTTTTTCAGGATTTTTTGTGGGGGTTTTTGGGAAAAATGAGGGGGAAAATGGGGAAAAAATTGGGGAATAAATTGGGAAAAATTTGGAGAAAAATTTGGGAAAAATCAGGAAAAAAATTGGGGAAAGTAAAGAAAAAAATGGGAAAAAATTTGGGATAAATTGGGGAAAAATCAGGAAAAAAATTGGGGGAAATAAAGGAAAAAATGGGAAAAAATTTGGGATAAATTGAGGGAAAAAAAGGGAAAAATTGGGGAAAAATCAGGAAAAAAATTGGAAAAAAATTGGGGAAAAGAAAGAAAAAAATGGGAAAAAATTTGGGATAAATTGAGGGAAAAAAAGGGAAAAATTGGGGAAAAATCAGGAAAAAAATTGGGGAAAATAAAGAAAAAAATGGGGAAAAAATTTGGGATAAATTTAGGGAAAAATTGGGGAAAAATTGGGGAAAAATCAGGAAAAAAATTGGAAAAAAATAGGGAAAAATACGAGAAAGATGAAGAAAAAAATAGAGAAAAATCAGGAAAAAAATGGAAAAAATTGGGGAAAAATTAGAAAAAAAATTGGGGGAAATAAAGGAAAAAATGGGAAAAAATATGGGATAAATTTAGGGAAAAAAGGGAAAAATTGGGGAAAAATCAGGAAAAAAA